CTATAAATGTATTTTTTAAAGTAAATTACAATAAATTTAACAATTATATATTTTACTAGATTCAGTATTCGCAAAGTGGCAAAGGCGGAAGTTCAACCATAAATTGTCCATTTTTTGATGAACCTAATAATGAAAAAATACAAATTATTAAAGATCAAAGAAAATGTGGAGGAATCAAGATTTGTCCTTTTGCGCATGAGCATATTATGAATTATAAGCATACTAATGTTGATTTTGATTCAAATATTTTTCAAACTATTAAAAATGCTGAGGAATCACGAAGTATTCAAGTCAACACATTATCATAATATATATCTAATTATTAATTTAAATTTAGTTTAAAAATTTTTTATATATATAATAAATATTTTATTAATTAGATTTTATTTGGCAACTAAAAAAGTATCTTGTCTATATATTCAAACTGATGGTAGTCGATGTAATGGTGACTTAATAATCAAAAAACGACGGATACAAACTCTTTTTTCAAGTGAATCTATATCACAACCGAATACTAATAGGAACAATGGATATTTTGTTGGTTGCACATCTTGGAAATATGGTATTACTGGACACCGTTATATACCACTTACAGAAGCTATAGATCATCATTTATTAAAAAATTTAATTGACAGAATGGTATGTTTTTTTTAAAAAATATATTACTGTTACTATATATTTATTATTAATTTTAAATATATATATATTTATTATTTAGCTTCTAAATCAACATGAAATAAATAATAATTGTAGTACAGTTTTGTCAAATAGCTCTAAGCGATTAGTATGCTGTAAGTAAAATTTTTATAAATTAATAATTTAATGGTTTAATATTAATTTTATATTATTTTAGCCTTCCCACATATAGATGATAATGAAAATCCTATAGAGGCTAATTTAATTCATTTACTGTGTAATGTTACATTTTATTGACTTACACCAGTGGATTTAATTAAATGTCCATTCATTGTTCTTGTGAGTGTTGGTGAACATACTCATCTGCCACTGCCACCAAGTCATATTCCAGAAGCTATAAAAGATCGTATTAATCTAATGATTAATAATACATCAGATTTTTTAGATTATATTACTCCCTGGAAAATTATTTCAAGTAATTTTTTATTTATTTATATATATTTAATTAAATTTATATATATTTAATTAAATTTATATATATTTTTAAAATTTAATTAAATATATATATATTTACATTTTAGGTAATCTTATTCGTGCACACTTTGGAGTTGATATTTTATCAGAAATTCATGCATCGCTCAATAATTTGGACCAGTTACGATATTTAGTAAACCGGGTACAACAAGCCAAAAATCCACAAAGACAGGGCATTCTTGGAATCGCATATAATTTCTGGAAAAACAAAAATAATATTTGTGATTATATACAACAATTAAGTATATTTTATTTTAAAAATTAAATATTCTATATATATATACATATTGCTAACTAATTACTTTTATTATATACATATTGCTAACTAATTACTTTTATTATATACATAAAAGGTTTTTTTAATAGCAGGCATATAATGGTCCTCTGTATGACTAAAGAACAAGTAATAAAACTTTATGAAACGAAGTATTTTCAAATGGACTTAACTTATAAACCTGTACAAGGTGAAATTAATGTATTTGAGCTTAATAAATATAACAAAAATCATCAAATAAGTATGTATTTTATTTTAAATTTTTAATTTTATTATTTAATTAATTATTAATGCTTTTAATTTTTAATAGTATTAACATTTGCAAGAATTTTTATGAATATTTCTAATGCGGATGCTTATAGACGAATATTTCTAATGATCATTAAGGCCATTAAAAATTTAACTAGTAAGTCTGTTAAAATTCAGCATATTTATGATGATGGTTAGTGTTGTATCTTGGGTGACTTGGATATTGTACAAGCAAAAGGACTTAGACTGGCTTTATCAACAATTGATTCAAGTTTAAGCTAGATAGATCATCTTATTCATATTTTTAAAACTTGCCGTTTGCATTATAAAAGGTATATAAAATAATATTTAAATTATTACTTAATTAATTTTAATTAATATCTATATTTTATTTTAGAAATATTTTCAATCGTAAATTTTCTAAACAAGCTACTCAATTAATGCA